TTCTTCTCAGTCTATCACTTTACAACAGTAACACAGACACAGAGTGAGAGGAGGCTGGAAGAGTGCAAATGGAAGTAGATCCTCAGCTCACTCTGCGCCAGAAAGCCCAGGGATTTTTCTGGTGGTTGTGTGTTAACCATGAGGCCAGTATCAGTTCTCCATCACAATGCCTACGCTTTACACTTCAAGCTTCAAAATGGCAAGACAATAGTCCTTTCTTAGAGGACAGGGAAGCCAGTCCATCACTGGGCACACACAGACAGACACACACTGACAACTAGGACCATTTGCCCAGAAGCCAATTAACCTACTGTACCAGCATGTCTTTGGACTGTGGGAGGAAAGTGGAAGACTTGGAGGAAAACCATACAGTACATACAGGGTGAGACCATACAAACTCCACACAGATGGCACTCCAGGTCCCGGTCCAGGTCCAGAAGGAACATGTCTCTCCAGATAGAGACACGTGAAAAAATGTATCCAGAAGGAACTTGTCTCTTAGTGGTCTGATTTGGAATTGTGGCGTATGGCCTACATGCAGCAAATTAAATGGATTTTAACAGCCAGCTCCTCTCAAGGAGTTTAGTAATTTCACATTGATTATAATACACACAAATCCTTTTGGGATAATCTTAGAAGTTTAACCAGAAGATATATTTTAAAAGTATTTCATATTTAAAACTTTCAGAAGATGAAAACAAGATAACATTTACTTGCTACCTTTAACTCAATTCTTTTTGTAAACACCACAAAACAGCACCTAATTGTGTATAACAGGTTTTAAGGACCTTGTGGTAGCACAACCGGCACCGATTAAGCTCATTTTGAAGAAAATAGCTCTGTTTTATTTCACTCATTACAGAGCTAGTTTCTCATCTGCCAATAGCAAAAACAACAAACTGAACAGACCTCCTTACTTTAGTTAAATCAAGGTCATGTCTGTCTATTTTGCCAACATTTCGGATAAGCCTCTTTTTAATGGTTAAAGATTAACTGATTCTACAGTCAGATCTTCTCCACAAAATAAACAGTTTCCAGCTGTTTTATGGTCTTGAATAAAGGTCTATCTGGACAAAATGAATTCCTCTATATTAAAAGGGCATGCTGTCTGACCCCTTTAAGGCAGGTTAATCCTAGTTTCAGTGTTACATCATATAGTAGCAAAAGTATGGATCTGAAAACTTTTTTCAACCAGGATTACAGACTGTAAAACTGCATCCCCAGCAGCTCTGTTCTGAGTTTTAATGTATTTTTACACCACAGTTCCACCCTACCCTGTGAGCACACGCTTTTTGCTGCATTTGCATTTCTTTCCAACAGCATTTGCATTGAAAACACCGCTGGCTGCAGATACGATTGCAATCTGATGCTGTTGTTCGTGATTATGTTTCAAAGGAGATTTCACTGTTTGAGCTTGAAATAACTAAGTGAAAGCTGTCCTAAAAAACCCCTTCGTTTAGTTTTCACCTTCAATACCAATACTGAGTCGCACCACATTTAAAGAGGATTAAAAAACAGGCAAAATAGATCAAGCAATATTAATTCAATGCATTCACTACATATACAAATGGCTTAAAACGGCAATAAAAATGTATTACATAAGCTGCTGAAATGCTTCTATACCCATCACTAGTTTTTCTCTCTAATCCTAATAAGTAAAAACCTCCCGTCACTAAAACTCAAATCGGTGGTGTTTTGGCACCCTCTAGTGGAAACACAGGGGCTGCGAAACTTACTTTTCACTTCTCACAGGTTCCTCCTCAAGCTTGACCCTTTTCACTTCACTGTTACACGAGGGGACGCAGCTCTCGAGATCCGTGTTCGTGGGATCTGTTCCGAGACCCATTTCACCTGGAGCTGCGGCACCATTGATGATATTTCCCATTTCATCTTCTTTGCTATCCTGCATTGTCCCCTTTAGTTCCTCAGCCTCTGCAGCTTCCTCAGCGGCTGTCCTGAAAAATGCGGAAATTAACAGACTCAAGCTCCCCAAACATTTTAAGCGCCCCCTTGCACATAAGCTGAGAAACATTCAAAATGCAAAAAAAAAAATGAGCACGGGAAACATTTCATCCACCCATCCATTTCCGAATTGCCTCACCCAGTTCAGGGTCGCAGGGGAGCCGGAGCCTATCCTGGCAAACAAAGGGCACAAGACAGGAGACACCCTGGACGGGGAAGACAATCCATCACTGGACTCACACAGACAGGCACACACTCACACCGAGGACCAATTTTCCCAGAAGCCAATTAACGTTTGGACTGTGGGAGGAAAGCAGAGCACTTGGAGGAAACCCAAGTATGTGAGAACATACAGACTCCACACAGATGGCGCTCCAGGTCCAGAACTGAACCCAGGGACCCACACAGCACTGCGAGGTATTCATGCAAACCACTGCACCACCATGCCGCCCCACTGGAAATACTTGTTGCGTCTATTTCTTCTCAGTCTATCACTTTACAACAGTAACACAGACACAGAGTGAGAGGAGGCTGGAAGAGTGCAAATGGAAGTAGATCCTCAGCTCACTCTGCGCCAGAAAGCCCAGGGATTTTCCTGGTGGTTGTGTTAACCATGAGGCCAGTATCAGTTCTCCATCAGAATGCCTGCGCTTTACACTTCAAGCTTCAAGATGGCAAGACAATAGTCCTTTCTTAGAGACTGTATGTATCTGTTAATTTCTTCTGTGCTTGTGAACAGGATGTTGCAAAAGTGATTTGGGCTGACTGATCATTTCAACATTTATGAGAGGTACACTATAAAGTTATATCAAATTCTAAGTTGAAATCATAATTAAGATCACACACAGAATGTATGAAAAATATAGTATGAGCAGTAATTAATATTTTTATAAAGCATCATCTAATTATTATGAGGGCATAGACACAAGAGATCAGTTGCAATGCAGAACAATTCAATTACAGTCCTGTGCAGCGTCATCATCCATCCAGTTTCCTCTGCTTTTTAGATGTTGAGTTATTGAAAACACAACTGATGTTATGACATATTTTATAAAGACATCCCAGGGCTGTACTGTGATTGAAACCAAGGCTTCATAATCAAATTCTGAAAAAGATTTGGCTTCTATCATAAAAAACATGAATTTACTATACTGCTGCCTCAGTAGCAAATTATGCCAAGCCTAATCATCTGGCCTTGAGCAGCAATATTTTTTTCAAGTTCTGAATCTTGAAGCTTTTAATCACATTGGCGAGTTTGGTCATGGGTTACTATTAATGCTGGAGATTCGAGCAATTCTCTTTAGAATCACTGGCAAACAAGTCACTTAAAATTATTGTTTGCTCCTGACAGTATTAGTATGAAATCTGGTTATAAAATGTCAAATGTACGGCGACATCCGGACACTATACAATTTCAGCCTTGTGGGCTTTTGAACCAATAACTATCAAGAGTTTGATTTAAGACCTTTCAAAAGAAATATCACAAACTTTAATTATCTGCAAATTATTATGGGTTTGTGTGCCTTATTTAACGTACTGTGTTCTTTTTTTCCTCTTTTGACAATACTTCTCTAAACTTTCAAATCATGTAGTTTTTATTTTAATTTGGAAGCTACAACCCTCTTACAATCTTATTACAACACTTTTTACAATATGTAAAGGCCAACTGTTAACCAACTTGCACAAGCTACTTGTGCCCAATAGCGCCTAGTAGGCTGAGTTAGCATCGTTAGCATGGACCGATGAAACTGAAAACTGATCTGCCTGCTGCTGCATCACAAATCAAGAATGCTCTCGACAACCCAAACTTGCCAAACCCAACCACTGTCTGAGAGCTGTCTCTCGGGGGATCACAGTCTTTGCCCATAATGCAGATTCTGAAGAGCTCTGGAATGCAACCAACTTCTTGAGATTCCCATAGGCGGTAAAGCAAAAAGAAAGTTTCCTTCCATGGCCGTACCCATTGTGATTTACTGCCATGAGTTCATGGCCTTGCTGAGCTTCAGCGGCACTTTCCACTGGGGCTACGACTTCCTCGTCCTCATGGGTGAACTCGGTTTTCTCTGGGAGGTCTTCCTGCAGTTCTTCTACGTGGTGTTCACAGTGCACATCCTGTCCAGCGCCACCGTCTAATGTCTCAGCTTCTGGCACAGCATCGTCTGCTTTCTTGCTGTGTCAAGATAACGATTGGGAAAAGTCCTGTTCAGCACTTGGAAACCAAAACACAACGCATAACCCAATGACTATCAAATCAGAAAAAAAAATTTGAATATTAAATAGATTAATTCTTATTTGATTATTAATAATTACATGGATAATATGATCAGATTTAAAGATATAAGATATTTAATTTTTTAAGATAGAAAAAACAATTATATTTAAATAATAGACAACATTTAGGGTTTTACAGCTCTTTTTCTAAGAAGGAAACACTGATAATAAAGTAGTAAAAAAACATGACAACTGCACTTACAGATACGAAAAACATCTAAATAGCATCTTAGATATGAACATATAAAGTGTATGAAATTATCATCTTTATTGAGCCACCACTAAAAATTTCAAATGAAAAGCAAACACAGAAAACGTATTTTAAAAAGGTGCAGCCTGTGTATAGAAACGTTTATAAAAAATAAGATCACCAAGCACAAAACATAGCAGAAACAAACACAGGCCAGTAGCTGCCTGACCTTCCACTGATGCAGAAGGCTGACCTTTCCATGCTGTTGGAAAACTAGACAATTTGCTTGTATTTAGAGGCACTCAATATAATGTGGCTGGTCTAAAACTAAAAACACACAAACTAAATTTGAGACCTGAACAGCTCTGTCTGAAAAAGTGTTCAACCCTTAAGTTTAAGGCTAAGATGTTCTTTCAAGTAATAAAACATTTGAATATCAAACAATTTGAAAGATGCTTCAAATTTGGAACTTTAGAGGTAATTCTTAGCTGCAAAGGAAGTCAGAACAGACAGGTGTACAAATCAAATTCTCCCTCTGGTTGATCTGCTGGCCTGGCTGCCACACCAAGCTGTATATGAACCATACACGACAGCACGACCAGAGATATGTCAACTACTGTATGTACTACAATTGCACTCGTGATAAACAATAGCACAGGTATTTATATCTTATATAACTACGACTACATACACACCCACATTAGTGATTTCCTGTGATCTCCCTCCATTGCAGTTCTGCTGCCCAAACAATTCACCACTGATAGAGTGAACTTGTGCCTTTCAGTTCCATCATATTTGCAAGCATGAGGCCTACAGTACATGCTCCTCCTTACATTTGTTACATTTACACAATAGGTCAGCGGATTTGTTTTGAGCCCTATATGTCCTCTGGGGACTAGAAAGTCCAATCAGTAGAAAACGTCTATGAACTCTAAATCTGGGGAAGGACTCCAAAGTCAAGTCAAAAGACAATAGACTGCAGACCCGAGGCAGACACCTGTGTGCCACAAAAAGAAACAGAATCAGAGTAAACTTCAAGGTACACACCAGGTAAAGCTTTCTTTTTAGTGAATAAAAACATATAGTTGTTTTTATAAGTATAACTACACAGAAATTAAATTCCATTTAGTTTTTTTTTTCCATTGAACTAAACAGTTTGTAAGTTTTCATTGTGTTCAAGGGGGTTTCCTCCCACAGTCCCAAGATATACTGGTAGGTTAACTGGCTTCTGGGAAAATGGTCGTGGTGTGTGTGTGTGTGTCTGCCCTGTTATTGACTGGTGTCCCGACCACAGTGTATCCTGCCTTAGGCCAACTGCTTGACAGAACAGATTCCTGCTACCCTCGCAAACCTGATTTGGATAAAGCATTAGAAAATGGATAGATGAATAATATGTGCATACCTTTTATTAAAAAAAATCATTTGAACACCTCATTATATCAGAATGTTCATTATGGGTATATGCTAATATAGCCTACAGTAGGTGCTGAGAGACCTTCTGAGGGATAAACGAATTGAAAGCTCAAATAATCGGAGTCACAGAGACGGAGGCAGGTAAACACGCTCAGGAGCGGAATTTATTGTCGCGGTGTCAGAACTGATTTTGACAGAGCTACTTATACACACTCAGTATGTGTGAAAAGTTATTTGCGTGTAATAAAGCCGCCCAGTCTTGTGTCACCTGTGAGACTTTACGGAAAGTCCATAATAATTATATATAAAAAAAAGATTTCAAATCCGTCATACAAAAAAGTGATTGACGCTGAGCTTGTGCTTTTACCTGGAGTACCATGTTAATGCAAACATCTGTTTGCATTTTAACTACACCAAAGTAAAGTATTTGTTCAGTTTCACAAAAACAGGCTTATTTCTACGTGAAAACTTAAAGATCGCTTTGGAGATTTGTAATGGCCAAGTTCGGAAGGGAACTGCAGCTATTTAACAACATCTTAATGTTCTGATTAACATGACCTACATAGCGGTTCACAGTTTCGATTGTAATAAAACAAAGGGCCATATTTAAACTTTCCAAGTTTTCAAATGAGCGATAAAATTGTACTAACTTCGATGCAAACTTAAAACGCAGCTGCCAAAACGCCAGTAAAAATTAAATCCTTAAGAAAGCGCTAAGAGGGCAGATAGACCGCATGCCAACTCAAGAGACACTTACCATGTCTGTAAAATCAGGCCCATATTGAAACTGTGCACGGTGCCAATTCACCAAGTCAAAAAAAGAAACAGAAACTTCGTTCACACATTTAAAAGGCACTTAGAACATTTTGAATTCTAAACAAGTTGGACGAAATACAGCCTACATAGAGACAATCTAGCGCACTCCCACCACATCTGCAGGGTAACTCAAGTTTAACTTTGGAATGAAAATATTTTTTAAAAAGCACGGAACTTTTTTTTTATTGCAAAGTAGTCATTCCCTTAGCAGCATCTTTCAAGATGTCTATTAAGGCGCACATACCGTATGTTGAAATGTGTGTTTGCCTCGGAAAGTACAGTATTTAATCCATCTTTGAAATGTGAACAAAATAATTTCCGGGGATTTTCATAACACACTAACCTCTTGTCATGCTGTCCGCTTAGGTTTCTGGACATCGTAGTTAAGCTTAGCCCACAGGAACTACAGTTCCTCATACATAGGTACATTTTCTAATAAATTCCCCTGGAAACCAAGGAAGATGAAAATATGGTTCCGCAATATTCAAAGCAAGCTTGGGCTTTGATCATCTTGATCGTTAAAATTAAAAAATGCATGCTGTGAACCCACGCTGTACAGAAACTTCAATACCCAGATTTTTCTGTTCTTGTTGTTTGCAATACTGATACTGTTCTATGTATATACTGACGAAAATGCTGAGTGTACAGTGTAATAGGGGGGTCCATGGTGAGTGGACATGAGAAGGTAGTTGGGGCACATTGCTCTTTGGGTGTGTCTGTTCTTTTCCTTATGGTGTGCCCTGCCATCTGACAGAGCAGTGAGCTAACACTAGCCATTTTAATAAATGTGCCAATTCTACATTAGAGAAACAATTCTGTCTCCTCACTTGTTTCAGCCCACCTGGACACTTTTAAGTGTAACCAAACTAACTGGTATCCCTGGCCCTTCTGATGAAAGAAGCAGAATCCTGAGCAAGATGGGATGTCTGAACCCATATTTAAAGATGCTCAAAGTATATAGAACATTTTTCAGGTTACCAAAATCACTTCATAAAAAGCCTGAACTTAACAATTTCAAACTGTAATACCTCTTGTTGTGAAAAGAGGAAGTCTGTTTTAAACCTGGAAACATAACAGAAGGTACAGAAGACTTCACTCAAGTTAGATTATTCTTTAGGCATTGGAATTAATACCCATGCACTCACAAAAGACACTATGGGATTTCCAATGCCCAAAGCATAGACAGTACTTCACCTAAAATACAGAGCTATGCTGGCATATATTTTGGTCTGTAACTTCTTTTCCAAAGAAAAAATACCACTCTTGACAACATAAATAGTTCTACTTTCAATATACAATATAATATATAAGCAATAACTTGTTTTTTTTTTTGTCAGAAGACTTCTATCTAGGAAGGCAATTGACAAGGGAAAACCTTGCTTAGTCAAACTGGGAAAGACTGCAGTGTCTGAATGAGCTTTGGTTTAATTTACATGGCTAGGGCCCTATTTTAGAAACAGAATGGGAAGCGTGAGATCAATTTTTTACTGGTCGTATAAACACTTTAAAAATAAGAGACATCCCACACAACAGCTTTATTTGCTGTTATGAGTAAAGAGTACACTTTTTTTTATCAAAGCTAATTATTTTACTTTGTCTCCTATTGCAAACCTAGAATTTTTTTTATTTATCTATTACTATAAAGAAGCCTGGTACCTACAATACTGGACTGTTTTTTTAATGGTTGACTACAATCTTAATAATTGCATTCCTGTGTAAAGTATATCTCCAGGTTATGAATGTTGGGTATTTATTTAACATATCACATAGCATGAACAAATGAACATACAGTGCATGAACCTACATTAGTGAAAGGTAAATTTCACTGTGACCACCCTGTACTCTCTAACCCCTTCCACCTGCCCCTCTCCATCTGAATATCTTAAATTCAAGCTGCACCTTTTATGTAGCGGATCTGATATGAGTGTCAGTAAAGAATTGACAATAGAGTATTGATATCAATTGCATTCAAGTCTTAATATGTTTTATGTAATAGATTTAGGTTTCTACCTGAATGCTTACAATCTTTATTTCCCAGACAGACAGGCTGGGAAACAAAATCAAAATCACATGAATTCTATTTGGAACCTCATGTTCTCAATCAATAAACCCGATTAATGTGGTTATCATTTAAAAGGCAATGAAGCCTGGTGCATCTAAGATTGTATTAGAAACTGCAGGGAAAAAGTATACACACCATTGTTTTACAACTAATTATATTTGACAAAATCAACTAGCTAGCTTTTCAATAACGGTATTGTGTTACAAAGCAACAATTCCTAATTAAATAGTAAAGAATTTCAATAATTAATAATTAATTGGTAATAAAATAAAATACATTATTACTTCAAAATATGCAAATGCTGAAAATGCAGACGATGAACAAAACAAATATTCTGTATACAATTGTATATAAATATAATTTTCAATATATATATTGATGTATATATGTTAGAGAAAGTGATATACAGTATGTACTGTATATACAGTGTATATATATTATGGGTACATAGTAAGAATATTATACCTTTACTTTATACAGTTAAAAAATATACAATGCATTTTTCAACAATGAAGTATGAGACTACCTTTCCTCCAAATAAAATATGTAAGTGTAGCATATGACATGCCATTGGAACACACACCTCCTGCTTGGTGTGAAGGAAAAACACATACCATTTTGTCTCTGAATTGTTTGAGCCAGTTTCCTCTTTCTCTTCACAGTGGACTGGACAGTCTCTGTAGTTCCTGTCATCCTTATACGGAGTCTCTACTAGAACTCCCTTACTTGAGGAACCTCTTGTCTGTTCTTGAAGCAACCCTTTGCTCTCATCCACACTGCAAGACCCGGCCTGACAGCAGTTCCCCATTTTCTGAAAGAGCTTTTATTTGTCCCTTGTAGTTCCTCTTCATTTAATGGTGTTTAAAACATCAGCAGGAAAAGTAGCACGGACATCACCTCACACCAAGCTCTTCTCGTTCTGAGTAAAGACAGATCATGGCCTGGTTAGGAAAGAGTCTGTAAAATGAAAGAAAAATACCAGAAATAACAGAGGGGAATGCCTACAAGGAGAGGAGTGGGTAGCAGTGAGTGCAAGAGAATCCATGCAACTTTCTAAATTAGCCACCCTCTTCTACCCCCATGTTAATGTTAACAGTAAAATTATGACCCACTTGCAAGATCAATTCACTGATTCTGGGAAATGTATCTATGCTTAGACACAGACTTTAGTAGCGACAGGGCTGCTTCTCCAAAGGTGAAAAAAAATTGGGCAATCCCTCCTTTAAAGTTCTCTTTCTGAGTTTCTCAATAAAAGTAATAAACAACTATTACAAAAATAATGTTGGAAAACCTAGTTATGGGAAATTAGGTCAGTTTATTGCAACACACAATGAAAATAGTACTATTCTTTAATTTGTTCTTAAACACTGCAGCTATCTTCATTATGAAATAAGTTTATGTGTTTGCGTTTGGACATGTTACCTTATTTAAGTGGGTATAAAAATAAAAATAATAAATCACAGATGTAATTTAGAATATTGCATTTAACTTCGGTGACCTCCCCTAAATATGTGCAACAATGACAAATTAGGTTTAATAGTAGGATTGTAGAATACCAAGAACAGAAGTATCTTTAAAACAGTTTACAGAACTCACAGTGTGAGCTCCCATCATAACGTTATAGTAATTTAGTCCAGTGGAAATACTGGAAAACAAGGGCTTTAGGAAGCTTTGTCCTGCTCGTTTGCTTCCTTACAGAAATGTATGTATTACATGTGAAAGCTATTTACAACATAGGATAAGACACCTTGTATTTGTATGTTTCCCCTGTATTATACCAAACTGTCTCACAGACATGTATGACAAATACAACCAACAACAAAACGTTTACACACGAGAGTTTCTTGGTGTTAAATTGTTAGCAAGCGTGCCGATCAAAATCAGACACATGTTCGAACACCGGTAGGTTATTATCTAATATTGTTTACATATTATATTTAAAATGTTGACATGCGTGGCTACCGATTTCAGATACCATTAAATTCCCGCAACACGACACACATCAATAACCCTTAAACGTGTTCTAAATCAATATTATACTTTTACTGTATGATTTGCCGATAAAAAAGTTATAATCTCACGTGCGTCATGGCATTTGTCAAGGATTTCTTTCTGTGCTTTGTAACACCCTACAGTACGTTACAGGTTATTTTAATAAATCCCTTGCACCGCACTGTGCTTACTGTAACTTAAAAGTGAGCACGGTCTGTGCTGAAAATCGGGCCTTTCTGGCACTGCCCACTTCAAAACATAATTTCTTTAAGCTCATGTTTAGGATCCAATTACAGTAATAAGTCCTTAAGAAATTTCTTCAATAGGAGCAGTAATATAATCAGATTTTAAGCGTCGCCTATGCTGTTCACAAAAGCAAAATATAATCAAATTGATACGCCTTTTTTAGACATTACTTCACACTATGACTGGATTTCTTCAAAGACCTGTCTTTTTTACACTTCTAAGTAGACTTTCAGCTTAACATAATTATTCTTAAAAAACGATTACGACAGCAGATTGCACTGGTAAAAAGTGTCCTGAAATACCTGAAATGAACTGTTTCTTTATGAGTGCTGTTCGTCCTGAAGCGGATCACCAGGAAGTACATCAGCATTTAGATATCTAGTTTCACTTCTGTTATTACCCGCTTTAATTTCAGGCTATTTAACTGTGGTCCCAGACCGTGATGAGCTAACCACATGTCCAAAAACAAGTTACCCTTTCATTCGTAACTTATAATGTGTATTATAATATCTTTTTGAGCAGTTCGCAAAACAACTCTCAATGTAGTGAATTAATTAGTATTTGATTTTTATAACCCTATTTTGAACAGACATGGAGGAGCTATCCCCTATTCTCGGAATGTCGCTCAAATGTCATAGGCGATACTACTTGACTCACGTAACCCGGAGGGTGTGCATTCTCGCGTGGACCAAACAAAATCTCTTCTTTCAGCTGTCCGTGATACGTCTTAGTCCTAAACTCCCAAGACCTGATGAGTTTAAGTATAACTGTCCTCTATTCTGGCATCTGCTATGATTTGTTTCCCATTACAAAGTGGTCGTCAGTGAACGCAGCAGATCCGTGAAGTTGGCCCCCCTCTACAACGAAGCTGAACGCAGCAGCCAGCAACAGACCCCTGGGCAGCCAGGCAAACAGATAAGGAACACAGATGCGCTACACAATATTCGTAATGCACACGGAGCTGTTGATCAAGCTGTTGCTTTTATGCTAACAGTATGACGTACTCCTCTTGCCCTGCACTGAAGGGCAGATCCCATGTTTTTGAAAAGTTTAAATTGTCATAGATGTCATCAATTAACCTCCTAGATCATGCAGACGTAGATCGTGTTAAATGAATAACGTTGCAAAAATGTCACGGCCTGGAAAACACAGGTCTCATAATTTTCTTATGGACTGGAGATTGAACTCCTCAGAACGAAATCTTGGGGGCACTAGTGAATAAGGAAAACAAAACAAAGTCTTTACCATATTTTAAAGAGGATCGCCAACCTCTTGAGAGTTTGAACAAATCTGCAAAGAGGCAAAAATTGCACTTGATGGTGTACAACATTGGTAGAGACTTACCCAAAAAGACACCCAATGGTCCCTCACCGAAAATTGAACTCAGGAGACTATTTCTCTTTTTTCCCTTTAGTTTTTGCTGACATTTACTGTAACTTGTCTTACACTTATACGTCTTCATTTGATTCAAACATCTTTGATCAAATGATTAAAGATTTTAAAGTTTTTTGTAACGTCCTAAAATGGGATAACACCATAACAAGAGTCAAAATACTTTCGTAAATGAGACATTGCAGATTAAGAGCTCTCATATAAAAATGAAACATTACCCAATACAATATTGTATTGACTACAGTGTGACTGGTACTAAGGCAACCCATCAGACAAAGTGCCAAACACGCTCAAGGCCTGTGTAATTACAGATATAGGAACCATTATTTAATTTTAAGTCTGATAAACTTTGGTACACTTATCCAATCAATTTTTCTAGGTTTTCAATTTCTTTTCACAATGTTTAAGCATTCATTTTTCTCTTGGGGGTTGTGTGTTACAATGTGTAAATAAAAGTAAAATAAATTAGGATTTATTGTGTCTTGATTTCAGGCTGTTAGGCCACGATATGTTATCAGAAAGGGTATATGAACTTTCTATAGGCACTGCGTATGGTACACTTTATTGCTACTGAGCAGAAAATCTCATCCGACAAGGGTATAAAAATGTTTTAGATAAAGACTGCTCCTATCAATTTTGTAGCACAACATCACATTACACACAATGCTGCGTGTAAGTCCCAGGTGGGTTTACAAATATATTAAGAGGTTGAGGGAGAAAACTGCAACCAATGTGAAATTCCTCATTTTAGTTGTTTTGCTAGTGCAGACCATCCACTGAGTGCCAGATGATTGAATAAGAATGCAGAAATCCTTCCAGAATTCTTGCTTTCCCCTGGATTAGTTCTGATGACACCAGTGGATCCCCAGAACCCTTTAAAAGAATCTTTCTCCAGCTGTGACAGATGGTCCCTAGGGTTGAGCTGTCAGTAGACAGAAACACTGCCATTAAAGGCTGTTGATATCAGTCACATTTTCAACAATACCATAAAGTGTCATAAACACATGACAGTGATGCACTCAATATATTGCCACACAGACATGGACGCACTACAAATGAAATTTCTCCTGTAGTTTTGTGCCTTTACACAGATTTTCACAGCGAGTTTGCTTTTCATAGAAACAAAACTGTGATCAACTTATAAAACAGCTGCTTCAAGTCCATGTTAATAGTTTAATTGACTGGCATGTTGGAATGTGAACATGGGAAGTAATTATTGGGTAATATAGCCAGTTGGTATAGCTGTCTGAACACACACTGTATACCGTATAAGGTGTATCAGTGCCTCACTGGTGACTGGAGAGATTTGTAGATAGTGATAGAAACACCTTGTGAAAGTCTGTATATTGTTGTGTTTGTAACAAAGAAACTGGAATACAGCCAAGATACTTTCTCAGATTCAGTTTGAAAATGATTAGTCTTTTTAATGTCCCTGATATATCTTTTGTTTGGCTTGTGTGAAGAATCAAAAACTTTAATAAAGCCAGGATCCATCCTAAATCTTATATAAAATCTGCTAAATGTGCAAAGGTCCATAAAATCACACTACCACAAATGTGGATCTTCCACTGGATAGTCCACTGAATACTCCAGCCAAAAAAACCTACCTCGAATATCTGAAATTCCAGCAACAGTAACTTATGAAGGAATAAGTTTTAAGAATGATCCTTTGGAAATGTTTATTTGAAGTTTATCAAATTCATGTTTTCAATAATACCCTGCATTATTTAAAACATTTATGACAAACATTTCCTATGATACACTCACTCAATTATGATTCCAAGATATCTAGATGGAACACCAATTAAATTTGTTCTACACACTGCAGCAGTGGCTACAAATGAATAAAAGGCACAAAAGGTATCTTTTTAGATAATTTAACTATTCTTCAATGATTGAAGCCTCACCAGGATTAAGTTGATTGATTTGTTTAATTGGATAATTGGTCCTATCATATGTAATACCTGTGCGAGTCTAGGGGAGGAGCTTAGGGTTTTAAAAAGGCAGTTCCTCTTAGGGTAAAGAAAAAAGAGGAGAGAGCGGAAGGAAGAAATCAGTAGAAGTCAACTAGCCAGAGAAACCTGGAAGACTGCCTGAGCCACAGCAACATCTGCCGACAGACAAAAAACAGTATTCCAGACTGTGCCATAGTTGTGCAAAGCACGAACTGTTCTAATTGTTTTGGAAAAAAACTCCTATTGCCCTACTTGTTTCATGGTTGTATAGAATATTGGATAATACTGTGTTTCTTTGTAATAAAATCAGTTTTGCCTTCCAAATTCATCCTGCCAAAATGTATAAACTTAAAGAAATACTTTTCATAAGCCAGCTTACCCCCAAAATCCTTATTGGCTGTAAACAAATTTGGGCAGTAGTTATCAAGTTGAATTGTTACAATAGGCTAAAATGTTTATAGTCAAAGTAGAATACAGTAGAAAAGAGAGCTTTAAGTATCTTAATTAAGACTTCGTTGAAGAGTTTAACATCAACAACAGCCTGTGATGAAAACAAACGTTTGATGTAAGTGGGCCTCAGTGCAAAGCTATAAATGCGTTTCTTTGAAACAATGCCTGTGCTAGGTGCTTCCCAGTTGATGTAGGTGATGCAGCAGCTCTTCTGGAAGTCCCAGTTCCTCAACTAAATCCGCACAGCTCTTTACTAGCTGTGCCAGGGTCTGTTCTGCTGTGCTAGAAGGCGCTGAAGAAAGAAGGCCGCAACTCTTCCGTGTGCCAGAGTCTCCCTGCTGCTCCCCAGTCCTGCTGCAGCCAGTGTCGCCAAAACTGTCACTACACCCAGACTTGGGCTGGCCCATACCCATGTCCTCAATGATTTCTGTGATGTCCCCGACGTTGGCGGGCTGCTCAACCATGCTCAGCCCCTCCAGCATGGACTCCTCCTGCTTTATCACGGACTGGAGCAGCTGACGCACTGAGGTCAGTCTGTTAGGGTCCGAGGGTTTCAGCTGGCACCACCACTGCAGGGCGCTGCACAAAAAAGACAAGCAAGGAGTCGTGTCACAGCAGTGCAGCTTCGGAAGGAGTTACACACACTGTACGTATAAGGGGTATGATCGGCTTAATAAACTTCGTACTTCTTTTACAAAAAAACACGTAAAATTTACCTATCATGGAATAAATTAATATGGAAATACATAAAAGCTTGGTTCATTTTTGGTGTTTTTCTTGATCTTTTCTTTCTTCTGTGTAGGTTAGTAATTAAAAACCCCACACTAAAAAAAAAATCTATTCTTTTTTTGGAGTTGAGACATATTACAGAAAACATTTTACTAAAATTATGATAATTACACAATTATAGATTTAAATGTACTCTCAGGCCCAGTGCAGATATAGTTCTAGAGAGGTTGATACATATCATTTAAAAGCATTTGGACCAAACATGGGTGATCTGTAAACAAGATCAAAACAACCAACAAAACGTTCACACACACAAGTTTCTTGGTGTTAAATTGTAAGCAAGCGTGCCGCGGTTGAAAACTGCAAAATCAGACACACGTCCGAACATCGGTAGGTTATTATCTAATATTGCTTACATATGATATTTAAATTGTTTACAGGCGTGGCTACTGATTTCAGATACCATTAAATTAAATGATAATTTCCCGTGAATCATGGCATTTCTCAAGCCATCGAGAAACAGCCTACGTAACAGGTTATTTTAATAAATCCCTTGCACCGCACTGTGCTTACTTACTGTATGTAACTTAAAAGTGGGCACGGTCTGTGCTGAGAATCGGGCCTTCTTGGCACTGCCCATTTCAAAACAATTTCTTTATAAGCTCGCGTTTACGATCCAATAAAATCTGTAAACAGCTCAAATCAATAAGCGAAATTAGGTCAAAATAACTTTTTTTTTTACCTCATAATTCCTTTCAGCTGTCCAATAGCTACCATGCGTGTTGCTCCTTCTCTATAGCCAATATTGAAGCCACGCTGTAGGGAAGACCCTTTGCCAGTATCTACGCCATCGCGGTACCCGTCCTGGCAGGAACATACATAATATTAAAAAAAAACAAATGCCGTAAAAGTACGATTTAACACAGGCTGAATCAGCAGTTATTCGCCAATCAAGCGCCTCAGGGAACACAACCTATATAAAAAAAAAAACATTTAATGAAAGAAGAAAGTTAAACATAGGACCATAAACCTGTAAATTAAGATTTCTAGCACTAAAAAAGGTAAACAAACACAAAAACGACACTAATGAAGCATAATTCATCCTGTTGAATAGATTTGTCTCCAGATCATAACGGTAAATTATCATTTGTTCTCAACTAACTTACAATATCTGGTAAAATAAAGGAAAAAACACTACAACACAAACAACTAAGCATTTTACGGCTGTTCCCTTAGTGTAACATACAATAAAGTAAAAGGTTGTTTATAGTTTATAGTAAATAGTGGTTTTTATCTAAACCTAGGAAACAAGACGTTACCTTCACACGTTTCTCCATGTTACACTTCCATTCCTTCTGTTCAAGATTCAGATCATCCACATCTTCATCAAAAACATCTTCCCCACCGGATGGAATTGCCTTCACCCAAGCCATTGCTGTAATTTAAGATACTACACTGCTGCCAAACGATGTAAAGTGATGTTGTACCAATTCTACATCAAACGAAATCACACGTACTCCTTCTTATCATGTTTAGCGATTTCTGCTTTTTAGTGTGACGACATCAGTATGCGCAAGCTTTTTTCCCATCGATATCTTACATGAACTAGATTGGCTCCTTAAGAGCACCCTGTCCTGTTCACTACGCCATCTTGCTGCAGACACCTGCCCAATTTATCCTGCGTTAACAACTGCAGGAGTCGACTGAGGTGGAAGGGTAGCGCAGATCTTACACAAACCATAATGAAATCAAAGTACTAAAACATCTTAAGCTTATACAAATAAACTGGATACGTATAAATAACCCGTTAGTACTGTATGAAAGTGAATTACAGTAAGTACTGTTACCAAATAAGAGGTGAATTAAAACCAGAGCCACAGCAGCCCATCAGGCCAAAGCTTATCCAAGTTCCTGTAGTGTTAAAAAGATTAGACATCACTCCACAACTACAGGGATTGCCTCCCAGTAATGATAGTCCTCATTTATACAGCTTGGAACAAATGGGAGTAAAACACCTCTCTCTAGAGGACAAGAGCAGTGTCTGCAGCATGTATTTGAACCCACAACCTGTCAGGCATAAGCCTGAAAGCGTATACTGTAGGTTACATCACCTCCCTACAGGTAACTTTACCTGCTTGAAAAGGTAAAAAAAACTGAGCGCAGTACTGTGTGAGATCTGTAGAGATGAGAGATCACAGATTGTGTCTAAAGAGGAGGCACAAGCTGTGATTGTCTTGAATACGTGTTGAGGGGTGATCAGGGACAGTTCTGATTTTTGTGGATAGTTCATTCCACCACAGGGGGTTGAGGGTGGACAGTGAACAGTCTCTGGAAGAACCGAGAAGGTGAGAATCTGGTGAAAAAGAAGGAACAGAGACAATGGGTTGTAAGGAGAAAAGGGACCTGAATTATTGATATTAAGAAAATTTTAATTACAGATTTTCCATTTATTCTCAATCCCGGTAGCCCCAGGCTAGTAGCAGATTTTTGTTGGTTTTCAAAATACAATAGGTATGGTTGACTGTAGTACTTATTTCAAATTCAGTTCAATAAGCAAAATCATACAACAGAAAATGACAATTGTTCAAGCTATTTTTACAAAACTAGAATACAATGCTTAGGCATTCGGTTATTGCCTGTTATCATCGGCATTGTACTTGTTCAGCCAAGCCAGTTTGCTTTCTGAGGAATCCATTATTTGTAAAAAATACAAGTATTGTAGTGGAAAGAAATCAATCAACAATTCAGTATAGTACAATAACCAAATCAACACTTCAGAAGTTTTTGCAATACAGATTCTTGATACACAGGATGGGAGTTATGTGCTAATATCGTTGTTTAGTAATCCGCTGAATGAATTCTGAATGAACTGAAGCCTGTTTAGTACCTTAGAAGGGACCCTAGTATATAAGGCATTACAAAAGCCTATTCTGATTAAATTAAAGCATGGATTAGTATTTCAGAGTCAGATAGGTAGTGCATGGGTCTTATTAAAATTACATAGGTGGAAAAAAACATGCCCTTGTGAAGTTGTGAGATGCAAATTAAATAACAGTACAGGGTTTAAGTGACACTAAGGTTTATACCATCAAAGGTTTGATTTCAGTACCATCAGCAACATTACGAAGCTGATCTGGTAGTCTACGAGCATAACTTCAGTTTTGCCCCAGTTAATTTAAGAAAGTCTGTTGCATTTATAAAGTTATTTATAAAGTCAGACAGACATCTGTAAAGTGCAGAAGATGCCACAATAATATCTGATATAGTCTGCAATTAGATTGGATAGTCTCAGTAGAGCAGTCAAACCCATGTTCATGATGATGAATTATCTGTCCAAGAGGCAACATTGTAAATAAGCAGTCTCATCACAGTACCCTGTGATGACATACAGCACACCCTGAGTATGTGGGACTACATCAGATTTAAAACAAACAAGATCTGCAAATTAGGTAGTTTTAATAAAAGCCAAATAGAACCAAAGTCAAAGGAAGGACCAGCGGTCTCTAGATAATATTCCAAGCAATCCAGTAGGATACCATGATTGACAGTATAAAAAACTGAACGTACATCCAGAAGAAGAATATTAAATTACCTAGAGCCAGAAGCCATCAACAAATAACTAGATAAACTTAACAATAAATGTCTTAGTGCTGTGTCATTGCCTAAACTCTGAAAACATTCAAACTTGTTAAAAAAACTCGGAAAGGCTTCAAAGAGCTCATGCATCCATCTGGAAGGGATGCAAACCATCAGAGGGCACATACAGACACAAACACACACACTCATACCAGGGTGAAATGTTCCAGGAGCCAGTTAAACCAGAGCACCCCAAAGAACCCCATGCGAGCACAGGGAGAACATACTGCAGCACCGGATGGGAGGAGGAGCCAAAGGGGGAACTGGGGGCTACCGGCCAGCGTGGGTTGACCATCTGGTGCGGTTGCACATTGTTGCGGGCTATTGGGCTGCCATATAAATACTTATCCCCGGCTTACACCCTTTTATACCTGTAACCACTGTCACGCCTGACATCCCTCCCTAGAGGGCGCTCCACTACTCCTGTTATTGTTATTGTTCTTGTGATTAACCTCCCCAGGTGTACCTTCTTAGGTGTTTTATGTAAAGATTAGCTCCTCCAGTCCTCGGGGCTCATCATTAGGGTAAGGATGTCGCGAGGCCCCGCCTGGCACCAGGAAAACCTACGTCCGCCTCCTGATAGGCCTCATCCCCGACACCTCCCGCTTCCTGAGCCCGGGGTCTGGAGGATCTCGCCCCGTCACCCTTGGACCTCCATGTTTTGTCTGTCCGTGTGTTCCCCCCTCCCAGGGACTTTAACCTTGTCATGCCCCAGGATGGACTCTCGGACTGTGCCCTGACCTGCCTTTGGACCCGTTTGGATTTGGATGCTGTTCTTTGTCTCCCCCGTTCACTGTCTCACGGACTGTCACTATTATTTTGTGCACTATTAAACCCCTTTGTGTTTCCTTTTTCCACGCCTCCTGTTTTCTCCGGCTCTTACCGCATCGCATAGGGTCTACTACAAGACCTGACACGGATCTCAGTCCATCTCCGCGACACCACCTCTACCTATGTACCTGTACCCCAGGTGAACCTAGTGTGTTATACCCTGATTACACTGTCTTTGTCTCCCATTGTCTTTGCTGCTGTGCCGGCAATAAAGAGCAGTTTGCATTCTAAAAGAGCCTGAATTCCTGTCTGCATCCTGTCCACCCAGTTTCACTACAATACAAACTCCACAGAGATAGCCCCAAGAATTAAGGTGCTTATCTATTGATAGATAAACAGGCTTTAGATCATCCAGAATTCATTCACTTTCTACTAAGAAAATGTATAAGCACATAACTCCCATCATGTGCTGTATAAAGTGAGGAGATGCTTGTGAACCACTGCGCCACAATGCCACCCTCAAACAGTTTAATATAGTAGATGCAAAAAGTGATTATAATTGAAATGCCACCACCAGTTTCAGATTTGTGCTGAATTGAGTCAGAGTAGAATTAATTGCATGTTTGTACAGCAATTAGGCCTACATTGTATTTCATTTAAAGGTAGTCTACACTAAATAATCATCTTTTGCTAATGTCGACAGGTCTGACAATTATAACTTGTCATTTAACAATAATAATAACAATCATCATCATCATCAGTATTCTGGGACAATATGAGATGCTTCCTAAATTTTCTGCAGTTCAAATAAAGATCATTCAGGGCATTTGTTTCATTACAGCTATATGTAGTGTACTATTAAGGTATTAAAAAATACTGACAGTCATACAAGTGTCTTTATTATAGAACAATTTCCATGGTCTTTGTAATATAAATACAATACATGTTAATTTGGGGTTTGTGGGTAGGAGATCACCTTCCACAATATGATGCGCCAACAGATGGCAGCAATACACTACAGCAGTTTAGCTGCCTGTTTTAAAGGTTGTGAGGTATTAAATAGCATGGATTTCAGGATCAACTTACTTGAACTTTTATTTGTTTCTTGTTGAATCTACCTTTCAATCAAGGTACCTACGTATAAGAAAAAGATCTATAATGCCTTTTAATGATCAGTAATGCAGGTAAATCTATACTTTTGCTCTTGTTCGAAGTATAAATGTCAAGCGAACAAATATTATATATTTGTTATATTTTGCTTGCAAATTTGATCTGTACTCCACATTTGCATTCTTCTACCTTTCCTAGGAGCTTTGAACCCAAAAGTGATACTGTCCTTAACAGTTTCCACCTTTTCTTGAGGAAACCAATCTAGTCAAGGGACACAGTGTGTGTGAAATGCAAAAAGCCCATGTCAGGGAGTATCTATATTTTTTCTGCATACAGACTCCAATAATCTATTACACGGTGAACAGCAATGCCCCGCTGACAGGGGATATATTATATACAGCAATTTGACAATTTCATAGTTATATCCTTTGCCCTTTATACACAATTTTGGGAGTTTCATACTACTAGGCTTATGTAGAAAATAAGGAAAATACTGGTTTAAGACTTGACATTGTTTTTTCTTTAAGGTTTGGGGTGAAATATGAGAAGAGCTGTAAATGGTTTGCTACAGATTAGTAAAATACATTGAGAAGTTTCACATCAAGGCATTTAAAACCAGCTTGTAATAATAATAATAATAATAATAATAATAATAATAATAATAATAATAAAAAATAATAATACAAACTTTATTTTATATAGCACCTTTAAAGGCTTCTCAAAGAGCTTGTAGCAGCTACTAACTTCTACTAAGAAACTAATAGCAGCAGCTATATACAGTATGGTGCCATGTGAGCAGGTGTGATCCCATCACTGCTTCCGGTAGTAGGCAGAGAGGTGCTGGAACCACTGGGCAGGTAATGAGGCAGTGATGGGTAGATATAGGGTTAATCAAACCATATCCTCTCAGCTTTCTTTTTAATTTGATTGCATACTGTGTTCTCTCTGACTGCTCACCTCTTCCCTTTACTGCAAGTTCGCCATCTGCTTTCCTTTCCGACCGTACAGGGAGACGCACTGCAAGCAGATGCTGTGCTCTTTCTCTACACCTGTAGTCAATTAGATCAATAAACCCGAGTAAACCTTCC